TGTAGGATAGTTGCTATATAACTTCCAACTAAACTCTTTCATATTGTAAGCAGCTTACGAGAACCAAGGAAATAAAGTAAAATTCATGCTTTACTGCTAGAATCTTTGTTCTTGCTCTTTTTCAAAATGATAAGGCGAACTATATGTATGAAATAGAATTATTTATTTCTGAATTTTTTTTCTTTAAGCTTCTTGATAATACATTGTTTAAACACTCACTAATATATATTTGTAAAGGTTAGCGTCTAGTCTGAAGGTACTTTGACTACTGACGGAGTGGTTGAGAAAAGCTAGAAAGGAAAAGAACAATAGAGAGAGTGAGCCAACGATTCAGTGTGCAAATAGGATCCATTTACATTTGATAGTGAAAGTAAATAATAACAGTCAGGAGTACCATAGGCTTGAGATAAAAATAATTCGACAATCGTAACTAGAAGTGCTAGCATGATATTTCAATTCCGTAACAATATTCTTCAGTCAATAGATTCGCCATATTGATCAATCAAAATCTAAGTTCATAATACTGCTTTTAATATATATATCTATTATTAGTTAGTCCCATTAGATATAGACTTTTTTAGTCTACCCAATAAACAATGTTATTTTGCACTTAAGAATATCATAACTTCAACGTTTGATAAAATTTACCATACTGTGCATCATACCTTAATCAAACAATTACTTTGTACTATTGTTAGCACTACTTAATTTACGAACTGTTTTCAACAATATTTTATTTTTCTATTCCCAACCTGATATCTACTTTTTATTGATTCCCTTGCTTCCATGGCATTTCTAAAAGTGTGAAAACTGGAACTGATATACGATAGAACAAGGATCAGCTTTGCTTATTTTTATTTGACAATGTACAAAAGAATTAAATATTTCATGAGATTAATCAAATAGACTGTGACATAAAAGTTAAATCTCATAGCAAAAACTAGTTAGTGTGAATTACAACATACATAATATCGAATTGATTTCAATAAACAATGACAAAATTCGTTGTAATTTCTTATTTACACAAGTCAGTTACAGAATTGAGAATAAGGAGTAAAGTTGTAGTGACCTGCTTTTCTCGACGAGAACGCGATTGGTATAATGGAAACAATTATTATTATAACCAATTGTACCAGTGATTATTTTACTGTACCCGTTGTTGTTTAACTGTATCAAAATGACTTTTGGTTCAGTCGTCCGCCCTGTTAGCTCGGACTTTCTTACGCTCAGCCCTTATTGCCTGTACTCGTTGGCACGTTTAGGTATTCTTTTGATACCACTAGATCGCCAATAAATATACTCTATCTGGACCAGTTACAGTCTTCTGATTTACGAGCTAGCGAATGAACCAAGTCGTTTTTGGATGCGTAATCTTAATGTAGTGGTGATCGTAGTCAATCGAGACTCGACGCCATCTACAAACTAAAGAACTTTGATTTTGGAATAAAATTAGGATGATCTAGGATTAATGAACAACCAATGCTTTCTCTCCTTGAAGAAATAACTCCTCCTCAACACTACTGAATAAAAGAATTACTGAAATCAGTCGCTAACAGACCTAGCATAGCACATGAGAACACTATACACATATGCAATTAATTCCTGAGATAAAAGTTATGCCAGCTTAAGAACAACAGGAATGTTGTTCTTTGAATACTATTACGGGAGTAACTTTAAGGATTGAGAAAATAAATCAATTCAATCAGGAATGTATTTAGGAAAAATATATTTCAAGTATTTATATCCGAACAAATAAACTATGGGCGTAAAGTGAACAGGTGCGGAGAGGAGAGACGCTACCTCTCTACCTAAAATATTACTTGTTATAAGCATTTATATAAACCTAAATATACTATGAATCAGTAAGGTGATGAATGATAACTGTACAGACACATGCCCAAGTAAAGCGTACATAAATACACTTGACAAGGACACGAACAAGATGTAAAGTGGTAAGTACTTGGTATCTGAATTATTAATATCTTCCCAATAGTTTGCATATATTTACGCAAGCGTTATATAGTCACTATAATACAATGTGATTTTGATCCATATAAGTCTTCTTCAATCACTGATTATGATAGTCACGCAGACAACAAATACGTAGTCTACGCTTACCCACATGTCTGTTATGTACCTTATGTTTAACTCGATGGTCAAATCCGAATAAATTCAGTATGTTACTGACTTAACTAGCATGCGGATTAGTGACAAACAATGAAGTATGATAGAACTGAATGGAGACAACTGGACTGACATAATAGTAGTACTGGATTAACACAGCGACAAAGTAGAATCGGCATTAATTGTATCATTCTGAAATAAATCGGGGATTGGATCAGACAGGTCTAATTTCTATAGTACTTAAATGAGTCCCAAATGTCCAGTATCTCTTAGACAATGTGTCTCAAATATTTACAGATAAGCATTATCACGCAATATGATTAACAGATAGTTAGACAGACGAACAACTGAAGTATTTTATGGGATATATATATCGAGTATTTTAATTAATCGCACAAATCAATCAATAAAATATAATCCGTGCATTTGAGTCACATGCTATCAGGTTCTTTATTCTAAAATGCGTATCCAGTTATGCTAATTCAACACGACTGTGCTAAATAGCATAATAGATCTGTTCGATTAGCAGTAACTTCATCGACTGGTACCGCTTCTTGGTTTGGCGGTCCATAGATTTTCCCCAGACTACTCTCTCACCAGACAACATCGTGAACTGAGGAAGATGGTGATTAAGAATACGTACCACTACTTTGTCAACCTATTTGCCATCTTTACCTAGTACCCTCGGCATGACTCACTCGATGGTCCCAAAATATAAGAGCAACAGTTAGAAGATACCTGTGGTCGAGTGCTAGCTAACCTATGAATATCTTCTATTCTTAATGACCACAGTTCACACTTAATGAGCAGAATACAGAGAACTAATGACGAATAAACTCGACATTTGGATCTTAGACGGGCGTTTTTACCTACGCAATGACTGAAGCAGGTTGGCAAAAGACAGCTGAACTCCCTGAATTCGTGCCGACATTGCATTTGGTAGTGTTTGGAGATAGTAGAGACCATCACTTATTAGGCAGTTAGCCAGACGTTCGATATTCTATGCTTTGAACGTCTCACCCATGACGCCACAACAGATCCAAGATTGAATAGAATATGCTGACACTAGAAAAGGTATAGAAACGGTCAGTTCATAACAGACTCAAGGATAGTAAGTTGAGTTAGAATAAAGAGACGCTATTAGACGACCAGCCATCCAGTGTTATTCATGGATATAAGGTCTCATTACTGACTGTACATATCCCATTAAAACTTCAAAACATATTTCGATGTCAAGTTATGAGATAAGGTGGCGACTTGGTCGCTGAAAAAACTAAGTGCAGCTTTCGATTCTCAAGGCAGTATAAATGAGGACTACTGAACAACCCCAAATTAAAACATTTCGACTATCGTAACCAATGGTTGGAGACTCTGGGTGACATAGCTCAGAATCGATCACAATGGCGTAGGTGTATACACTCTTTATCTTCCCTTAAAACTTGAGACTAAAATTGTTTCATAACTTTTTTCCTTCCTATAGTATATCCTTATATACAACCTTTCTTTATATACTACCACCACTAAATTAATTACTTCTATGAATCCGGTGTTCATCTTGTTGTGCTAACGAGGTATGGCAACTTGGACCGATGCATATATGTGCCTGGTCCTACGTTGTCGCTGACTGAAAACATTTCGATTCTCATTGATTTTTATTACGGGTCAGAATACACAGTACAGTCAGGTGCAGTGAAATGTTGGACCAGTTCTCAGAATATGGTGAGATTGGTCGAGTTAGTCAGTTAGGAATAAGTATACCAATTATTGAAGGTTTAGGTGAAGCCAAAAATATCCCTAGGATCATATCTGTAGCAAAGTGAGGCAAATAGTCTACCATTATGTAGCGAATCCTGATGACAATATACAAGACTAATAGTATTAGAGTGAAAAAAAAACATCCGCAATTCAATGTGTCTTATGAATAAATGTAGTCCAAAGATTGACGAAACTGAGTGATTTTAGATCAGGAAACAAGGCCTCAGTGATACATCGATAAGTATAACAGTTTCAAAATCCGAATGGTGACCACCTGATCAAATGTACTCTAAACTCCTTTTGATTACCCGTGAATGTAATAACAGACGCTGGATTCAGTCACATTACTGATATGTCTTTTACTGTAGCAGCTTTACTAACTAATGACTTAAAGCCAGTCCCAATTATATGTCTAAACTAGCAATCTCTACACGTGGACGTTGACATTTTTCCCTACGAATACATTATATCCATTTCTTTCATTAGTTTCTATTGTTATATATATATATATATATATATATATATATATTTCAGTTTATGATTAGATTTCGCTGAGATGAACTTTTAAGTATCTATTGACTGAGTGATGAACTGTTGAGAATTAAAACATTTAAAGGAACCTAAATATTGAGAATAACTATTATATACGACAAAAGGAACTCTATTATTTTACTAAAGAAAAACACAGGGCATAATCAATCAGCAGGGAAGCTAAACTGAACATCACAAGGAAGTATAAATTATTGTTTGATTGTAGGTTCAGTTTTCTTAGGAATGTCTGATATATAACTTTGTCTGATAAAGTACACAGACGATAGGTAGAGATGAAAAGATATTTTAGAACAAGTAGTGAGGCTATATAGCTATTAATTTAAGTAAAAGTTATCATGCATCACTGTCCTACTAATAATCAGTATCACTGTATGACCACAAAAGTACTTGAGAACGGACTCATCAGTCTGTTTTGTATTTATACGGTCCCCCTCAATAATGTTTGCCTTTCTCTCGATGCTTTACAAAAATTATCACTAAAAAAACTAATGCAAACCACAGTTAATCAGGTTAATGCCTATTTACAGAATTTAAGTTCAACTTCCATAGTGAATCGCATCAGGCAATCTAAAGAAAGCAGAGTATATTTATTAGTTTGTATCATCAACTTTATGTTGAATAAATTGAATACATAAAGCGATCTTTCATGAAGACCTAACTAAATAACAAAACCGTGACGTTGATCTTACGTGGTCTGAAATATATCAAAAGATCTGTTAAACTGTAGCACAATCAGAATTTATGGCAAGGACTTCAAATAAAAGATTAGAATCTTTCCAAAAACATCAAGTTACAGATTTTCGCAAGCATAAGAAATGACTATTGTCCACAACTTGTACATATTAGAAAGGGATAAGATTAAATGAAAACAAAGTCATTCAAGAAACGAGTAAACTTCTGTGCGACTTAGCAATCAAGTGTTCAAGTTATCACACTAAGCACTGAGCTGAAAAATACAAGTTAAGCCAACTATTATAAAATGAAACTGGCAGTACAATTTGTCATCGCTAGTGGAAATTAACTATAAATACAAAGACAATTAAATAAGTGACACATTTGAATACCATTTTAAGGCTTTGATGAGAGTAACGGGAGGTGTAAGACGAAAGGTTTGAAAACTTACTAGCTTAGTTCCCACACTAGAGATAGAGTCAATGCTATGTTCATGCTATCAAGACTAATTGTTTAAATGAGTATCGCATTGAAGTATTAAACACAACTTGCCATAAGCATCATAATTAAATTTTTCATTTCCCTGGTATTTGACAAAAGTGTAAAATTCCGAAAAAAAGAAGGCTAGTATCTTTTTTCTGGATTGTGAACCAATATCGTTAAGCTCTGTAATTCGTTATTTTCTTTGGAAATGCTCGATTATATTTACAACTGATCACTGATATAAACTAAATAATTATCTTTAATGAACTCAAACAATTCAGTAATATTACTTTAGGACAGTCAGTCACAACGTAGAACTTCGTACGTACGTACATCAGTTCGAGTTGCCATACCACATTAGCACAGAGATGCAGTTGTCGATTCAAATCCCATAGTGATATAGAGGTAGTAAGAGTATAAGCAGTTGGTATACAATGGATAATGAATTAACAAAAGCATATACACTCCATTAATTTAGAGCATTTTCTTTAATAAAGCAAATGACTCAAGAACCATTATTTACCAAAGCGAAAATGCATCATTATAAACACACAAAGTAAGAAACATTTTAGCCAGTACCAAGACAGAATAAAAGATATTTTTTTGGTGCAATAACCAATTAATGTTTAAAATATTATTTTCAATATATGCAATCTGAAATATAATATCTGGACATATTTATTATCAAAAGAACAAATGTAAAAAATAGTATCACTTTACAGCCTGCCTCAAAATATCCTAAATAATGATACCACAATGAAACAATCGGAACGTAGAGAATAAAAGATGAAAATGCAAGATAAACCACTTACTAAACAAGTTAGCACTACAGATCCAAAATCACTTTAGTGAACCACTTACAGAAGGGGAACTATTTTGTTTATTGTTTTGGTCAATCATCGTTTTCATAACGGGCGGAAATGGGGGAGGTAAAAATCCTGGCGGGAAACCCATCTGTACTGAAGGGAATCCTGGCAAAAGAGGCCTTGGTGTTGATAAGGCATCTCTTTGAATTCCAACTGGAAAAGGCATTGTTCCTCGAGGTGAAGGCTTTGGAATAAATGTAAATGGATTAGCTTCTGCTACTGGCCGTTGCGATGTTAAATTTACTAAAGAATTTCTTGATTGAGAGCGTACATCTCTTAAGCTTGAATTTTTCATCACGTCCTGTGGTAAAATAGGTCTTGGGAAAATGTTCATAATTTTTTCACGAGATGAACTATTTATTTTTTCCGGGAAGGTGTGTATTGACGATCGTAATGCATTGTTCTCTGATTCAATGAGCTTTTGTCGCAAACTGGAGTTTTCTTCACGCAGATCTTGAATTTGGTGGTCAGATGCACGAGCTGCTAACCAATTTTCATGAGAACGCTTATCTAACTCCGATATTTGACGTCTACTAGTTCTTTCAGTTTCCACTAGCTCTCGACGTAAAGCTGCCATTTGATCTCGTAATACCTTCACTTCCCCCTCAAGCTCTTGATTACGTTTTCGACTGTGCTTAAGGGCTTCGGAAGATTCCGAACCAACTACGACATGCTTTCCCAAATCCCTCTGCAGTTCAAGTTCACGTTCTTTAAAGTAACAGGATAAAATATCAAGCTTTGTTTGATAAGCATTTTTTTCTTCTTCAATCTGAATTAAATTAGCTTTAAGAGTTGAATTTTCTCTTTCTACCTCTTCCATTTTGGACTCAACTTGAACTCGAAGATCATGTTCATTTTTTGCTCTAGATTCTTCAGTTTTTATTTGTTCATCTTTAAGTCTGATTTGGGCGTGTAAACGACCAACATCTAAGAGCAATGATAAATTCTTCTGTAATCTAGATTTTTCTGTAGTCTTTTCATCGACTTCATTTAAATCACTTTCGGAAACAGTGCTTGACTTGTCGCTAATCTCTACGTCATCCTCTAAGGTGCGACTAACATAAGATAGATTGTCAGTGGTGGTTACTTCACGTTCTTCCATATCATTTGTTTTCTGTTTTGAGGAAGATTCCTGTTCCAAAATCAACTCAAGACCTTTAAGTGTATTAAAACTAGCAAGCAAACTCTGAAATTCTGCTTCTTTAGTAAGTAACTTTTCCTCAGATGCCTTCCTAGATTCTAAAATTTTGTCGACCTCTGATTGCATTGTCTTCATGCGATTGTAATATAAATTAGCTTGAGAATATAACTGTTCTTGTTCCTCTTTCAATTCTTCTATTGACTTACGGTTATTCTCTTCCAGATCTAAAAGACTTTTCTTCCATTTATCATCATTTTCAGAGTGCAATTGTTTTAGACGATTAATTTCTGTGTTTAATTCATGAATAACTTCTTCTTTATCAGTTAACTGCAAACGCAAGTTTTGTTCTAGTGAATTATGAGAACTTTTTAAATGATTCAACTCAGATTGAACACGTATGAAAGATTCTCGTGAATCATCCACAGATAATGTCATTTCAGATAATTTGGAAGTATATTCTTCCTGTAGATTTTGAAGACTGCATGAAAGTGAGTGAGCCCATTTAGATAAATGAGAATTAGACTCTTCCATATCTGAAAGTTGGCTAGCTAGTTGGATGCTATACTCCTCAAGTTTTAGATATTCTACGAGAGATGGAGATGTGTATTTTTCAGAAAAAATGTATTTAGATAGAAGGAAGTGTACACCTTTACTTAGATTCCATATAAAAAGTAAGTGAAATAAAAAAATCATCCAAGCAATAATGAAATTTATTGATAAAGAAAATGTTTCAAGCAAGAAATTATCTAAATTGGAAATAATATTTTCTGGTAAATACTGCAGAGAAAAGTTAGCAGCCGCAAAAAAGTACGTAAATCCATTGACTAAGAAACGCGAAAAAGGTGATCTAACAGTTTCAGAATACGTTTTATCAAAACTAGCGTTTGCTGCCCAGTATATACAGTGTATCAAACCTAAATGAACGGGAACACCATGAGGATCAAAATCATTCTGATTCCCAAACATTTGTCGTGGAACAGCTGGGGTAGTAGAGCTATTTACATCCAAAGAATAAATTATTCCAATATTTTGAACATCGATATTACTGCTGATGACAGCTTGTTTATGATCATGCACTGGAAAAGATGAATTTAACTTATTAGTTTCCAGATAACTATCATTGTCTAAAAGGTCGTTTGACGGGATGGCGAACGAAGCTTGTGAAACATTCTTTCTTGACTCCTCATCAGTACTGGAGGAGACAGTCGCTGATGGTGTCGATACAGGAGTTTCAACATGCTCGGTTTCAGACGCCTGCATTTCAACATGATGTGACTGAATAGATGAGGATTGTTGATTCACAGCAATCGACTCGTTTTGTTCAGATCTACTCGAAGCATCCTTCTTCGAATCCTTATCGGCACTGGAGGAGACAGTCGCTGGTGGTGTCGATACAGGGGTTTCAACATGCTCGGTTTCAGACGCCTGCATTTCAACATGATGTGACTGAATAGATGAGGATTGTTGATTCACAGCAATCGACTCGTTTTGTTCAGATCTACTCGAAGCATCCTTCTTCGAATCCTTATCGGCACTGGAGGAGACAGTCGCTGGTGGTGTCGATACAGGGGTTTCAACATGCTCGGTTTCAGACGCCTGCATTTCAACATGATGTGACTGAATAGATGAGGGTCGTTGATTCACAGCAATCGACTCGTTTTGTTCAGATCTACTCGAAGCATCCTTCTTCGAATCCTTATCAGTACTGGAGGAGACAGTCGCTGGTGGTGTCGATACAGGAGTTTCAACATGCTCGGTTTCAGACGCCTGCATTTCAACATGATGTGACTGAATAGATGAAGATTGTTGATTCACAGCAATCGACTCGTTTTGTTCAGATCTACTCGAAGCATCCTTCTTCGAATCCTTATCGGCACTGGAGGAGACAGTCGCTGGTGGTGTCGATACAGGGGTTTCAACATGCTCGGTTTCAGACGCCTGCATTTCAACATGATGTGACTGAATAGATGAGGGTCGTTGATTCACAGCAATCGACTCGTTTTGTTCAGATCTACTCGAAGCATCCTTCTTCGAATCCTTATCGGCACTGGAGGAGACAGTCGCTGGTGGTGTCGATACAGGGGTTTCAACATGCTCGGTTTCAGACGTCTGCATTTCAACATGATGTGACTGAATAGATGAGGATTGTTGATTCACAGCAATCGACTCGTTTTGTTCAGATCTACTCGAAGCATCCTTCTTCGAATCCTTATCGGCACTGGAGGAGACAGTCGCTGGTGGTGTCGATACAGGGGTTTCAACATGCTCGGTTTCAGACGCCTGCATTTCAACATGATGTGACTGAATAGATGAGGATTGTTGATTCACAGCAATCGACTCGTTTTGTTCAGATCTACTCGAAGCATCCTTCTTCGAATCCTTATCAGTACTGGAGGAGACAGTCGCTGGTGGTGTCGATACAGGAGTTTTAACATGCTCGGTTTCAGACACCTGCATTTCATTTGCAATAGATGACGTAGATTCACGTGCTTTGTCCTCTCTAAGACTTTCGCTGTGTGATTCGAATGAAGAGTCAGTGGTATCTGTCTCTCCATAAGTTAAAGCAGTGTCACGAAATTTTGTTTCAGATGAGTTGTTATAGTAGGACTCGTCTTCTTCATTATCTTCTTCAATTTTGTCATCTTGTTCCACTTCATCAGAATCTATCTCATACGTCGCTTCTTGCTTGCTTACTTGATCATGACTTCTGCGACTAACTGCGTCCATTTTATCAGCATCGATTTCATCCATCCCTTTTTCGGCATCATAAGCATTACTTTGTCTTTGATTGTCGGAAAATGTTTTCTTGTTGTCTGGATGACCTTTCACAGATAATTTCTCTGTAGATTTGTAACTCGAATCTTCATCCAATGGTAAAGACGTTCGACTAAGTGTCCTTTCGTTTAACAGAGTTGAAGGATTCGAGTTTGTATCGAAGTTTTTCACCTTTAAAAATTTGCGTGAACTAATAGAATCCTTTATTTGTACAAAACTTGGGTCTATGTATAAATGTTCTTCGCCGAATTTTATTTTCATCATAGAATTAGCAGCATCAGCACTTAATCCTATTATATTAACTAAGGTATTCTCCTTTAATGTTTTCTTATTCGGTACACTAACATCTTTAATGAGAATTCCAGTAGTTATGGTTTCCAAACAATTTATGTCTGAACATAGAAGTTCAGCTGGTAGATGTTGTTCAATTACTGCTTCACTGTGACAGAGTAACGCCCACAATCCAATGAGTAAGAAAGTTAAGCAGATTTTCATCCTAAAAGCAAAAAATACCACTTTTTAGTTTAAAAAAACCGTAACATTTAAAAATGGAAAACACCACATCATGTATACTACATATAATGAGTTAAACTACAGTTTATTAAGCTATTTAACCGTTGACGTGACGGGTAAGAATTAGTAGGTATCATTACCAAGTCTTGATTTGATAATTTTGAATAAATTGAGCATTGGGTAGATTGTTATAAATAAATAATATATTTGTAATATCCCAATGAGTAGAAAAATTAGATTTTCTGACGTTTCGTGACTCAGTGTAAGCCACTTCTTCAGAGAATAAATAACCAAATTAACATTAATTTGGTGGCTTACACTGAGTCACGAAACGTCAGGGTAAGAATTAGGCCCAAAAATTAGGTCTTAACTGATTGCGCGATTAGTGATTTACAAACTGATTTTCTCCAATCGCCTATGACAGCACTTTTATTTGTGTAAATATGTTGTATATAAGCATATCATTTTATTACATGAAAAATCCGTTCTTCTGACTAGTGGTGATGTTTTTTTTAATTTTAAATCATACAAAAGCTTAAGCCAATAATATGATTTCTTGAGTAGCCGTCAATCGATACTTTGTATCACTGCATTTCATCTATTAATCAGGATTCTGATCAGTGACTTCGATAAACGAAAGACCGTCCATCAAGTCAGTACAATCCATCTCCACAACAACTGCATTAAACTGAACGTCCGGATTCAGGTTTAAACCAATCCCAATTTCATTTCAGTGGCTAATTTGGTAACATATAGGGTATCTGGAATCCGATCCTGGTTTTTTTATACTAAATGATTTTGCAATAAAGTTCTTTCTTAGGAGGTAGTGTTGCAAGCCTTAATACCCCAACCCACCATCTTTACTCGGCCTAGGCAATAGACTATAGACTAGAATATTTGTTATGAAGCTGTAATATTAACGCTATTAAGGTTGATTTGAGATTATGACAAACTTAAGCAAGGTACAGTGAAATTATCCAAAAGGTAGTGGAGAACGTACGAAGATAATTTTGTGAGAAAGTAAGCAAAATAGATAGAGCATAACGTCAGCCTTTCAGGGCAGCGAGAATTGAACTACAGACGCTTCGCACGAGAAAATCGAGGGTCGAGTCAAGGCGTTGTTGGTTAGTGAGTCTGCAGAACACAGTCAGTCAGCTACAACGTACGACCAGACAAATATACGCATCGGTCCAAGTTCCCATATCTCATCAACATAGCAAGATGAACATCAAATTAATAGAAGTAGTTGCTTCAATGGTAGTAATATATAAAAGGAAGATTTCATATGATAATATATTACAGGGAGAAACAATCACCTCGTAGAAAGATATAAAGCAACTTCAATCTCACGGTTTAAGGGAAGACGAAGAGCGTATACACCTACGCCATTGTGATCGATTATGAGCCATGTCACCCTGGGTCTCCAACCATTGGTTACCATAATCACGCGCACCCCAACCAAGTAGTCTACATCCACTAACGTGGCTCAGATCAGAAGTTAGCGACTTCAATGACTGATGCCACGTTCTCGTTTGATCGCCCCTCTCTCTTCCAACCATTGCCAATACTAGTCAACATAGCGCGTCGTGGTAATCGGTGTTCAGGTATACGTGACACGTGGCCCAACCATCTCAGTCGATGAAGATTCATGACCTCATCAACTGATTTACCATAATTCCCTAATACCCTGCGTCCAACCTAACTATCACTTACCCGGTGATCCCAGCAGATAAGAGCGATATCTCCAAGACATCTGTCACCAAATAATAGTAACTTACGAGTATCCTCTATTCTCAATGGCCACGTTTCGCAGCCGTAAAGTAGAACAAAACGAACTGCTGCGCAGTATACTCGTCCCTTAATTAATAGACGGATATCTCGTCTTCGCCATACGTCACGTAAGTTAGCAAAATCCAGACGAGCCTTCTGAAACCGTGCTGAGATTTCGTCAGCCACCAATCGATTAAGGCTGATCAGACTCTTACGATAAGTGAAGCTGTCAACGTGCTCGACTACTCTACTTCATATCCATAGTTTGGGTGTTGACGCAGGCCAGTCCTGGAGTAATAACTTCCATTTAGAGGGGGAGAAAAGCATCTCAAACATCTTGGCATTGTTACTCAGTGCTACCAAAAGATCCTGCACTTTATTAACGTCTTCACCAAACAGGACCATGTCATCTGCGTACTCTAAGTCGATAAGTGGACCTCCTGGTAGATCAATTCCTGAAAATTCAGTCGACGAAAGTGTGATTTCCAGCAGTAGGTCTATGATGAAATTGAACGAAAATGGAGATAGTGGACAGTGTCGCCGGACACTACTTGAGGTTGCGAAATCAGATGACACTTCGCCATAAGCTCTAACTCGACTGGTAGTGTTCGAGTAATGAGCCTTCACAAGGTTCATGTACTTCTGGGGTACACCTTTCACTGACACAGAACCTCTCGGTCTATAGAGTTAAATATTGCTTTTAAGTCAAGAAAAATTATCATTGTCGGACGCCGATCAGCATGTTAGTGTTCTAAAACCTGACGAATAGTGAATATGTGGTCGATGCAACCATGACTTAGTAGGAAGTCAGCCTGATTTTCTTGTGTTTGGAGTTCACAAGTTTTTGTTAAGCGCCCGATAATTATTGAGGCTAGTATTTTAGATGCTATATTAGTCAAAATAATGCCTCTATGGTTATCACAGGATGATTTTGAACCCTTCTTATATATTAGGACAATAAGTGATTGAGACCAGTCAGATATGATTACGTCCAACTCCCAGATTTTAGCTAAAATATTAGTCAACATAATCGCAAAAACTGGAACACCATGTTTAAAGACCTCTCGAGTAAATCCATCTGGACAAGCTGCCCTTCCGCATTTCAGATTAGTTATAGCCTTCTGAAATTCGGTTAGAGTCAGAGAATCTACTTCAATGTTCCATCCAGGTTGTCTGGGAATAGTGGGTAGTTGTAGAGTAGCTGAAGGTCATCTGAAATTCTCCTTACAGTGTTCCGCCCATTGTTCTATAGACTGGGCTGAGAGCAGAAAAGAATGTCGCTTATTTTCGAGATCGTCTTACTTACACTTGAATTCTTAATTTCAGTTTTTTATTAGTTTGAAAAGCTGTCTGGTATTATTTATTACTAACTAAACACAAACACTGGTACAAGGACGCATCAAATATATATACGTCACACAAATCACTCAATATGTGTGAGGGCTGGAATACTGTCCAGGTGCCCGGGCCGAAGCAGGTGGTTTTCCCTGGCAGATGCTGTATACGCGTGATCGTGTGAAAGCATTTCGAGAGGGCGGGCCCTCCCCACACTCGACCGTACCAGGGCATTTGGGATCGGTAAAAGAATAGGGTTATTGTACACGGTTTCGAGATTGTTGTTAGAGTTATCGCTGCTATCCCGTTCCGTATCACATGAATCTTCAAGTCATTGACGGTTATATTGCGGATTTTAGATAAAATGATTTAGTAGTCAACTCCTACAATTAGTCCGCTACCCTGTGGCATTTCATCCTTTATGTGCTTTGTCAAAGAACTTTAATGTCTAGTAATAGTATTTTTTATTTCACTTCCTTTAGGTATAGTTATGATACCACTACAATTATAGCTCTCTGTACCAGAATCTTCAGTAGTAATACTGATAACATTTCTTTTCGTTAACAGAGACCCCAAAGCCTCATGGATCATCAATGTCGTACCGGAATAGGAAAATACACGAAACCGATTATTTAAACCTTGAACATCGTCTATTACTTATTTGAACACATAAACATTGGTACAAGGGGGCACCAAGTACATATGCGCTACACAATAACAATGAGGCCAGTAGCAGTTATCATTGATTAGTGTGAGGGTTGTGATACTTCCCGGTCGCCCGAACATAGCTTATGATATAATAGGTGTAAAACGAGCACGCGTTTTATGAAACTACTTGTTAAACCCATTGTAGCAGTCTCCCCGTACTTTCGTTTAAGGTCCTACTTTAACCTTAACAGATGACTTATGAACTCCCAAGTACCTGTTATTTGTAACCTTGTTAATCTTATTTATCAGTGCCTTTATATGTGATTGTATCCAGAGTGTGTCACTTACGCTCCAATTCAGTAACTGTAATCTATATATAATGAGGAATGAGTCATCCAGTATTTACTGAGTAGGCACATTATGCCTTCATCGTACTGTACTTTTTTCTTTGTGTTAAAAAATGAATGCTCTCTCATACGCTCATCTTTCGCTTATTTCAATCCGTTATTCACCTATGAGATTAAGTCGATTGATGTGTACGAAACCAATTAAGGAACCTCGCCAAATTTACACTTGCACTGTTAAAACTAGTACGAAATCTAGCATACTGACAGAAACGACTAATATGTACCAGAAATACAAGCTTTCAGGAATAAAAGGAAAAACCGAAAGACGAATTAAAAGATCTAGAATTTTACCAAACTAATTTAAGTTAAAATTGACTTGATACGATGGAACAAAAGTAGATTCATAAAAAATTTAAGAATCACTACCCTGCTTAAAAGTCCGGTGATAATGTGAAATTATTTTCTGAATTACCAAGAAAAAAAGAAGCAACCCAATGGATTAATAAAGTCAGTTACCACATAAAAATGCAACGCCAGTGTTTAAATACCGTCTAAACTCAATAGGCCTAAGAGGATTAACATTCCCGCGAACCTCAAGGTAGTGCGACGTCACATTGACCTTCAGTAGTAAAGATTGATCTATCGATTTCAGTCTCAGTTTAAATTTCAGTTTGGAAAGGACAGGAAGCTTGATGGCCTGTGTTAGACCTGGCAATGATGGTCTCTCAGCTGATCCAACTTTCTTTCGAAGGAGTCGACGGATGGAGCCTCAACCACGTGCTGAGGTAATGAATTCCACTCGTTGATTATTCGATGGGAAAGTCGGTAGTCAGCTGACAAGTAATTCGTTCTGGTCTTGTGAACTTTTTTGGAGTGTCCTCGTAGATTTTCTGTTTTGGAAGACAAGAAAAATGAGGGCATATCAGGTGCAAATTTGTCATTAAGCAATTTGAAAACTGTAGTCAAGTCGCCTCTGATTCTTCTATATGACAGCGGGAATAGGTTTAGCTTGGTCAGTCTAGTACCATACGGGAGCTTCGCTATTCCGGGAATCAGCCTAGTTGCTGTTCTCTGAACCCTTTCCAAGAGTTCACTGTCTTTTTTTAGGCAGGGGCTAGCTGCTTGTATGCAGTACTCAAGTTTAGAGCGTACGAACACTGTATACAAAGTCAGAAACGTTTTAGCGTCAAGATGCCTAAAAGCCCTGCGTATGGACCATAAAGTCCTAAAACCTTTGGCGGCTATTGCACGGCAGTGTGCAGTAGTCTTTAAGTCTTGAATAACGATGACGCCTAAGTCATTGTGTGCCTGGACATTAGGTAACTCAGTGTTATTCATCGTGTATGTATCTGTACTCTGGTGGCCAATATGCATCACAATACACTTGGAAGTGTTTATCGGCAATTGCCAGGTTTGGGACCATTCAGATAATCTCTCCAGGTCATTTTGAAGTTCTAAGCTATCGCCCTTGCTTTGTATCGCTCTCCATATCTTGACATCATCAGCATAGAGTAAGACCGATGACGATAGTAGACGAGGGAGATCATTTACGTACAGAAGGAATAACACTGGCCCCAAAACTGTACCCTGGGGGACTCCACTAAGCACAGTTTCCCAGCTAGACAACTTGGATTTCACCCATACTCTTTGTTGACGCCCAACTAGGAAGTCTTTTATCCACATCAATAGATTGCCTCCAATCCCGACATTCCTTAGCTTATATAACAGCCGGTTATGCGGAACTTTGTCGAAAGCTTTGCTGAAATCGATGTAAGCTACGTCTATAGGTAATTTTTGTCCTTAAGAGCTCACCAGCTTTCACGAGCGACTTTTCGGAGAGGATCCGGTTTTCATCGAGATACTTTAACAGTTCCTTCCGAATAATCTTTTCTAAGATTTTAACAACCACACTAGTTAGGCTAATTGGTCGGTAATTCTCAGGCTTATGTTTTGTACCTGTTTTGAAGATTGGACTTACTATGGCGTTCTTCCAGTCTTTTGGTAGACGACCCTGGGTTACGGATAGATTAAAAACGACACTTAAAGGGTTCGCAACAAAGTTAGCTAATTCCTTTAGTAACCTAGGATGCAGTTCATCGGGTCCAGTGGATTTACCTATGTCAAGCTTAACTAGCAGACCAAAGACATCGAGTTCTTTAATGGTTACGCTGTCCAGTGCTTGTGTGGGGGGATTTTCATGGACTGGTGATAAGGGCGTTTCTATGGTGTATACATCGCTTTGCCAAAGTCGTCCTCCACTAGTGATGTGGCAGTACTGTCTCCCCATAGTGAAGGAACATTTCTTCTTTCTGTCCTTTGGTTTATATACGAATACAAGTGTTTAGGGCATTCTATGGATTCCCTAACGATTTTCTCTTCATACAGCTTTCTGGCCTTACGGAGGGTTGAGGCACAGGTATTTCGAGCCTTTTGATACTGATATTTTGCCTCGTCAGTCCCCAGTAACCTAAATCTGTCCCACATTTTCCTTCTTTTACGGAGAAGGATGCAAACCACCCTACTGAACCACGGTGGGGAGTTTCTCGGTCTCTTAGGTGTAGTCCAAGGGATGTGGGGGGCGGTAACTTTTAAGTATAAATTCCGGAATACGTCCCAAGCCGTTTCGATTGATGACTCTGGGTCTATTTTCCAATCTACTGATGATGCTGATTTCATGATGTTTGGTATGTTTGCTTTCCAGACGTTAGGTCTGGATTGAGCTGAAGCGTACTCGTGATCGACAGTTATATGGAAGTCAAAGCTTAAAACTGCATGATCAATTTTGCCTAGGGGTGGCATGTAATCCAGGTTTGCAACATCATCCTCATAATGAGTCAATATAAGATCTAGTAAGGATGATGCAGAACCCGGGTCGTACCTAGTTGCTTCCTTCACGTGTTGCACTAGGGCACATGTGATTACCGCATCAACTAGTTCCTGTTCGAAGGAATTTGCTGACGATTCAGTCCGCAGATTTCCCCAGTCCACCATGGGTGCATTAAAGTCCCCTAGGATTAGACATTGATCACTTCGTGATAAAGTGTTGAGACTGCTTAGCAGGACCTCGTTTGCCTCACAGCTTGGACTGCGATAGATCAAACTAAGCAGCAACTCTTGTTCCCTGCATTTCAGGCGGCAGCTAACTAATTCATACGTCCCACTCTCATGGGATACACTGTCGATAATGGTGAATGGAATAGCATTCCTAATGAATAGAGCTACTCCCCCTCCTCTACGCGTTTGTATTTTGTCGGCCCTTACTAATGTAAAACCCTCGAAATCCAGTTCCCTACTATCTACAGACGGCGTCAGCCATGTTTCTGTGACTGCGATTATGTCTGAAATAGTTGAGTCAATCTGTACACCTAGTTCCGGTAGCTTATTGAGTAAGGTCCGGGCATTGGTATAACAGATCCGAAGCCTATTTAGGTGGCCTCGTGCTTCACCCAGAGTGGCTTCGGCATCATCCTCTGTCGAAGCCTCACGACCCGAAAATTTACAATTTTCAGGTCTTTTTCGCCAGCGTCTAATCTGAGCTGTAGTTCTTTTTCGACTTCCCGTCTTTTTACACGGTCCGCCAACGGTAAGTCCTTACGGAGAAAAACTCTTGAACCCTTTAATTTGTGTCCATTTTCCAAGATTAAGTCGCGTTCGTTTGGGGATTTGAAAACGACTTTGAGTAGTCTAGACTGATTTGGTTTCATATGCGCTAGATTTCCTAGTCTATACACCTTTAGCAAGGTGACTCCGGAGATGTTTTGGGGAATAACTTGGTTGAGTAGTTGTTTTATCAACACAATGTCATGCTCAAAACGAGCTTTCGGTTCTAAGCTGTCACTCTCCTTGACTCTATGGAGAATGACTGATCTGTCGCTGTGATCAGACCTCGGCTTGTCGACCCTTTTGGTGGGGGTATGACTTCCTTTTACGTCATTTTGGCGTTTTCTCCTTACGACCCGTACCCAATCGCCAACGTTCTTTGGAGTAGTAACCACAGTCGCGTCAGGCGTACTGTGGGATTCCGGAAGGTTAAGGACGACTTGGGAGGTTGGGTCATCTTTGGCGCTGGAAACCGATCAGGCCTTGAGGTTTCGGCTTCCGGAAGTTCCCTTCTGGATACCATTTTTGATACGAGGGACAGAAGAGACTTTTTTGCGCGAGTTTCTGGTTGTGACAGACAACTTTGGAGGGTGTTCTTCCCCCTTTGGACAGTGTGGGTCAGCATTTTTTTTACTCACTTGGGCCTGCCTTATCTCAATCTGCGTGTCGACAGATTGAGTTCTGACTGATGTATCCCGACCGCGCTTGCCGAGACACTTTTTCGCTGCATTTACTATTGAGATGGCCTCGGTTAACAGGCCATTTGTATCCAAACAGCACTGTTGACATAGCCATACGCACCCATTTTTACTGAACTGCTTGAAATCTGCAGGTATTAGATTCGTGCAAACTTCGTGGTACCAACCTTTGCACTCATCTCACTGTATGCCGCTATCAACAAGATATCGACATCCTGGGCGGTGGCAAATGCTTTTGTTGCATCTTCCGGTCGTTTTAGGATGCGAAAGTGAGTGTTGACTACAAGTAGAAAAAAACTATAAATAGTTAGGACCAAAGTACTAACAGACACAGTAGATAAACAAAGGTACTCTGGAGTACCGACGATAAAACTATTTAGGATACCGAAAATGATACTCTAATAGAATACTTTAACTGAAAGAAATTCAATCAAAGTATAAAAACAGTAGTCTTGATACGTTAATAACGATCAAAACAATAGAATTTACTCAACGAGGAAAAATACCACTGTCCTTTTTAAATAGCGCGCTTTGTATTCTAGACTTATATTAATCTTTTCAATTTTTAGCACTGTGGAGGCCTACTCTCACTTTGTATGTTTCAACAGAAGATGTGAATATTACCTGTTCTAGTAAAGAACTTCAGTGGTTCACTACTTGGTGTGTGAAACGGAACTACAGACGTTAACGATTTGATTTAGGTTTTTTGAAATTTCCCCATAGTTAATCATTCCTAGGCGAAAAGAAATAACACATCAATAATAAGATCATCTTTCAATATACGGTACACTGGTATTAGGTTGAAGATACGACCAGTATTGTAGTTTAACAACTATTAACCAGTAACACCTTCTATATTCGAATCGTCCCCCACTTAGTTAAAATCAGAAGTCAGATGCGAAGAGGTTGGAAAGATATATTTGATGCGTTATCAATATATCGAGAAGCTGTTGTTCTAATCTGGCTAGTGAATGTAGATGTTTCCCACGCTGAGCTGTAACGTGATCTGGTGCGGATGCATGACCGAACGCCTTCAGTTAAACAAGTCCACTTAAACTAGTGCGGTCAGCATCCAATGTCGAACACTTAAAAAGCTATTTATTTCGGGGAATTATTTACAGCTACAAGGTCACCCCGAAACTTGCGTCAATATAATAGAAATAGTTTGATGAGTCTCAGTCTGTCTTCATATGATAGGTTAGAGTGGCTTTTTAACACTTAGCTGGTTATAGCTTATCCACCTAGTGCTCAAAACAAGAACTGGCCTAGTGAATCTCACATTTCAAATGCCGCCTCACAAAAGTCGAGTTTAATATCCTAAACACTTC